AGGTATTTTACAAAAGCGGGTTTTAAACTCACTTTGAGGGCTGATTTTGCATCTATCCTACTCTTTCTAACACATTGGAGGTCATGTGAAAGTCTAGGGCTGGATTAATCTGAAAAGGATGTCCATTGAAGTAATGGAAACTTGAACCTTATTTTGATTACTGTGTTTTGCTTGTTTAGACTCTGATTCAGACAGATGAATTTCTAGAGGCAATCATAAGACCTGAAGGTAAGGAGATACATTTACAGTGTATTTCTTAAGGTTAAATAAACAACTCTGCTTTAGAGCTACAAACATTGTAGAGTCAAGATTATCTCCCTTTTAGGTTTGCTTTTCAGTGAAATTTGTACTTCATAGTCCTTTTTTGTGTAATCTTTATTTATTTTATTAAATGAAATGTTACTGTATGTGCACATAGCTGAACAATCCATTCTTGAATGGGACAAAGGGGCAAAGGATGTGATTACAAAAGAAAAGGAAGAAAACAAAACTGTGGTAGAATCTGTTCAAGAGAAAGCAAATAGGACTGTGGTAGGGACTGGAGCCAGATCTGATGAGGAGATGGTGGCCAGCTCTGGAGAAGACCTTGGGGGAGGAAACAAGAGGACAGGTGTATCTCTGGCGGAAACAGTAGCTGAAGTTCCTCAAGCTGAAGGCGGAGGTGTTAGGTAATGTTGAATTGGTCAGAACTTGATTTTTAGATTGTGAAACCTTTTTTCGGTCTGTCTTTGTTGATAGGAAAATAGAGTTAAGTCACATGATATACATGTACATAGTGTATGAACCAAACAATGTTTGCATTCAATTTGACTGTCTTTTTTCTTTTCAATTTTGGATTAATTTTTTTGATACCTTATTTGAAATCAGTGTGCTTTAAAAAAAAAGATTAAAACATGCCTTACTGGAATAATGACTGCAGAGTCTTGGAAAACTCTTACATGTTGCATAAGCATTAATTGCCTTAACTTGTGTTATACTTGGCTTCCAAATAACTGGAGGACTTCACATGTAGAACAATTTGTTTTAGTTACGTACTAATATCCTCTTCATTATAATGGACATGTCTAAGCAAATGATAGTTAAACATACATGAAAAAATTACTCCATTCTGATTGGTTAAGATAAATGTAGTTTTCAGGTGATTCAAAGCAGGAGAGGGTTAACTCAGTGTGAAGAAGTAAAAGAACAATTTCTTGAACTGTTTAGTCAGACTGAACTTTTTTGGGCCTTAAAGATGTGAAAATATCATTGTATATGATTGTTTTGATCGTAGGCAGTTGTTTTGACAAAATGCGCAATGTCCCTTGCAGGGTTTGAATAAATTATTTTTGCACTTAAAAGGCACTTTGCTTCTATATAATTATTATAAGTTATCTTGTATTTTTTCTATCTAGTATATTATTAATACGTAATCACATGATTTTTATTGTGCGATTTGGAATAAATAAGCACTTTATTTCAAAGACCACAAATTGCACTTGCTCCTACAGGCTTGTGCAATTTTGTTAGTCTTTGAGAAAATTTACTCATGCTTATTTATTCCAAATTGCACTTGAAATCATGTGATTACCTATACTAAAACATAAAACTATTCCTCTTTGTACCAAAATGGATGCCAAGCACTGACTTAACTTCTCTTCTTGAATTTTACAGAATCCCTGTACCAACACTTGACACTCATTGTATTTTGAAAGACTCAGTATTTGAATATAACAAGGCTTTAGAGGAGAGAAAAGTGGAACTGCCATGGCAAAATGAAGAAAAGGTAGAAATTTTAAGGCTAATAATTAAATTGTGCAATTTATATCTATTGAAGGAAATTTGGGTTTTTTGAAGTTACAGACCACAAACCACAAGTCACATTCAAATAGCAGTTCTGCTGGAATTCCATCCCTTCCTGGAGCTTTACCATCCTGTGTTGAGCTGATAGCTGCCATTGGTTCATTGAGATTTCGTGGTTCATCCAGACTTGATGCAACTGGTCGTTGCATAATGGCCTCTTTAGTCTCCTCAGCAAGATCTCCGGTGTTGTTTTAAGTTGTTGGTCGAAATGGTCTGCAAATCTGTCCAAGATCTTGTCTTTCCCTTGCAAAACCGATTCATCATCTGGAGCCTTTAGCTGGATCAATCCTCTTGGTTTGGGGTCATAGATTTCTCTCAGACCTGTGAAGAATGTTTTCATGTCCTTCATGTCTACTGCAGTTTGGAATTCCTCCTCTGATGTACTTCTGTAGCTCACTCTGAGCCTTTGAACTTTCTTCTTCTTTGGCCTTGTGTTACACTGTAGACTTTCCTGTCTAGCTCTATTCCTTGCTTCGAATAGTTTCTTCAAATGTTTATCATGGTCATCAAACCAATCTTAACGTTTCTACTCAGGGTGGCCCAGAACATCACTCACAGTCTGATACACCATATCCTTCAGCGTTGCCCATTTCTCTTCTATGTCTTTCTCTGAGTTGTTGCTCTCCCAGTCTTTCAAGTTTTTGTCCATTTTCTGTGTGAGTTCTTCCTGCTTCTTTTGGCCTTTCAGTACACAAGTGTCGAGCTTCCGAGGTGGATTCCCACCCGTCCTGCAGTGCTGTTTTCGTCTACAAACCTTTAATCTAGTTTTTAGCATAACATGATCAGTACCACAGTCTACTCCTCTCATCTCTCTGTCTTACTGTGATGTAGTATTGTGTGTGCCCTTGTGCCTGAATAGGGTGTTGGTTACCACAAGGTTGTACTCTGAAAGTGGTGTAAGTAGAAGTTCTCCGTCAGCATTGCACTTGCCTACTCCATGACTGCCCAGCACTCCTTTCCATTTCTCAGTGTCTGAACCAACTCTAGCATTAAAATCCCCAACGAGTATCAGCCTTTCATCAGACGGTACACGCCTGATCGTCTCTGGTGGGTCACTGTAGAACTCTTCCTCCGCCACGTCCGTGTTGGTCATTGTTGGGGCATACACGCTGATGAAGATGGTATACATCATCCGCTGTAGTGGGAGTCTCATAGTCATTATCCTGTCGTTGATTGGCACTATTTCCTCGAACATGTCCAGTACACCCAAACCGCAACGATTTGTCTACGGTCGTTGACAAATCGACGCACCGAATGTAGAATCGTGCGTAATCATACCGGAAGTGAAGGGTGAAAAGCAATGTTTGAAAATGAGTAGCATGGTATACTGGAAGTCGAATCGTGTGTTAACATACCGGAAGTCGGGGGGCGTCAGTAATGTGTGAAAATGAGTAGGATGAAAAGAGAAAATGACAACAGGAACCTTGCACGTTCTTAAAGCGTGAAACGGCCGGAAGTCCATCGTCAGAATATTAAAAATTCTTCCTTTTTAAAGCGTTAAACAGGGGCATGAAATGTTGACGAATCAATATGATTCTTGCGGGTCGACTCGACTCGTCATTAGTAAACTCGACCAGTCTCACTGGAAGTCGATTCGCGAAAGAAGACAATACATACTTTAGCGTTAAATTGAGGTATTTAATGTTGACGGATCGACTAGACTCGTCATTAGTAAAGTTGATTCGTCACCGGAAGTCGATTCGTAGAAGTAAGCATTAAATTGGGGTATTCGATGTTGACGAATCGACACGATTCGCACGGGTCAAGTCGACTCGTCATTAGCAAAGTCGATCCGTCTCACCGGAAGTGGATTCGCAAAAGATTTGTCATGTGATTACTTCGTTTCTAAGTGTTTTGTTTTGAAAACGACAACTTCGGAGACGTGCAACCTGAACATGGCTGGCTTTAACGAAGATCGTGTTCGTTTATTTCGTCTTTTCACAGTCCTTCATTTTGTAGGAAAGAGCTTTTTAAACTTATTTGGTTGTACATCGGTTGTTAAGAAGTATGTCTCTGTATTTCCCGAACTTGGCGATGTTGAGGTTCCTCTCGCGGAATATTTTCTAAGTGTCTTGCAAATCGACTTCCGTTATGACGGGTCGACATCAACTGCGTCGAGTCATTCGATTCGACAACATCTCCAACCCCCTTCGTAGTTACTCGCAGAATATTTTCAAATTGTCTTGGAAATCGACTTCCGGTATGACGGGTCGACATCAACTGTGACAAGTCATTCGATTCGACAAAATCTGCAACCCCCTTTCGTGGCCACCTGCTGAATATTTTCTAAGTCTTACAAATCGACTTCTGGTGTGACTGGTCAACTTTAGCTGAGACGAGTCGTTCGACTCGATTCCAATCGAGTCGATTTGACAACATCTTCAACCCTATTTAGTAGCTACTTGCGGAATATTTTCTAAGTGTCTTGCAAATCGACTTCTGGTGTGACGGGTCGACTTTAACTGAGACGAGTCGTTCGATTCGAGTCGAATGGAGTCGATTCGACAACATTTTCAACAACCCTTGACAGTTACTTGCAAATTGACTTCCGGTATGCGTTTCCATTTAATAAGAGATGGTTGATCAGATTTCCGGTGTAACGAGACGCATTAACCGCGAATCGACTTCCGGTAAAACGATTCGCAAACTGCCTTTGACGAATCGTAACGGTTTGGTGTATTGGACAACCCTCCGGTTCCTCATCAAGCTTTCTTGCTATCTCCTTTCTAACTGGAAAGCCTACTCCTGCTTCTCTCCTTTCTTGAGTCGGTATCCCACTCCAAAAGAAAATGAACCCATGATCTTCCAAGTTATCATATTCAGGCAATCTTATTTCACCAAGTGCAGCTATTACCTGTTCATTTCCAAGGCCACAAGCGCAGTCTATCTTTCTGGGCGCTGTAATTTTGGTCTGTGCATCAAAGCGCGTACATTTCATTACGTATAAGGCTGCTGTATTCCTCTTCTTCCTCCTGCCTGCCCCTAACATACTTTTCGCTGCCTGTTGGAGTGTAACAGATCAGCGCAGACCTTGCTAACCCGGGCGACCTCCAAGCCGGTATGAGTTGTTTTCTGAGTGACAATTTCATGAAACTGCTTGCAAAGTATTTAAGTACAAAGTATTTAGTATCTCTGCCCTTTGTGTAGTGCATATCGAAATGCACCGACTGGGAAAAGTACACCACGCACCTTACGACAGATGTGTTTTCTCACCCCGTGTAACTGAGAGTGGTCCACCACATACCTTGTTTTTAATTGTCAGGATGCCCAGTTTCACCTTCCACACCCTCCTAGGGGCGGGTTGCCGGTTGAGTCGCCGACTTCCCGACCTATAAGACAGGTAATACCGGTTTTCATGGTTATCCAGTAGCAAGCAGACCGTTAAGCGTTCAAGAACTCTTGGGTTAGCCTTAGCTTCTGGTTATTGCCATTAATAATAATTGGTGATTCTGTTGCAGGTTTCTTCAGTAGTCAACCATTCTACGGCATGCAAAGAGAAATGCTTGGAAATTTCTCTTCTTTGTGACGGGTGGACCTCACGTGGGGGTGGTTTGTCAACGTTAAACAGGGAGCTGACGGTACACTTGGCAGGGGCAGGGATGGTGCGGGTTACTGTCTTCCTTCCTGGGGGTGCTTGTGCCCATGAGCATAAGAAGGAGGCTGAAAAGCACGGGATCAACGTGGTTGAAGCAAAGCGACTCCTAGGCTATGATGATCCTCAGGTTTGGCTGAGCTTTCCACCTCCAGACCTGAAACCTGATGTTGTAATTGGTCATGGTCAGAAACTAGGTCGTCAAGGACAAATTTTCAAATGTCTACCACACAGATGCAAGTGGATTCAAATGGTGCATACTGATCCAAAAGAGCTGAGCAAGTACAAAATCGATAGCCAGGCTGTTTGTAAGGGCGAGGAAAAACATAAGACTGAAGTTGGACTCTGTAAAATGGCTCATCTGGTCGTTACTGTTGAACCCAAACTGTATGATGCTTTCTCTAAATACCTTGGAAATGAATATGTCTCGAATATCCTAAAACTCACTCCTGGTCTTTTTGAGGAATTTAAAGATTTGAATCATGCCCTTAGGAAGGGTTCTAACTTCAAAGTGTTGTTGTGCGGCCGCAGTGATCCAGAAGACTTCAAGCTAAAAGGCTTCTTCGACATTGCCGCCAAGGCTTTTGCTTGCATTGAGCTTAGAGAACCATCTTATTTACTCATATTTGTGGGAGCTTTAAAGGGAAAAAAACAAGAGATGAAAGGAAAGCTCCTCGAGTTTGGCATTAGAGAAGATCAGTTATTCGTTAAAGAATTTGTAGAAAGTAGAGAAGAAATGAAGAAGTTGCTTTGCGAAGTTGATCTGGTGATCATGCCCTCGCGGGCCGAGGGCTTTGGTCTTGTTGCATTTGAGGCTCTCTCCGCAGGTCTTCCTGTTCTTGTGGGCAAAAATTCAGGCCTTGCTCAAGCCATAAGAGATTTGCCGAATGGTAAATTATGCATTGTTGTTTCAGAGGAACCCGAGGAATGGGCGACTGCAATCACAACTGTTCAACAAGGGCATAACGAATACCTACAGAAGATAAAGGACCTACGTGAAGCTTATGGGAAGAAATACAGCTGGGAAGAGCAGTGTGAAGTTCTTGTAGACAAGATGAGGGAGATGATACTGCATGCAAACTGAAAGATAGAAAGTTCGTGCCCTTCCTTTGTTTTGTCTATTTAACTTATTAGAAGGCGAAGTAAAAGCTGTTGAGAGCCCAAAAGCAACCCGAGGTTGAAAGAAAAAAAAAAAGTTTAGTTTCATAGCAAATTGGCCAATTTGAGAGTTGAAACCGATAATCAAATTTCCTGAGGTGGTCCCATGTCTCTCTAAACCCTATCATACTAATAGGAAAAAAGGTCAATATCGTGTTTAAAAGTAGATCGTTGTTGCTTTTCGATAGGTGCAGTAAAGCTAGTCCGGCGGGAAATGCAAGTGCAGTAGTGACTTTGATGCACAACCCGTGAAACTAGAATGTAGAAATTAGTTGGAAGACATTGCAACTGGATTGCACCCACGTACTCCTCTGTTCATATTCATTAACAATGGATCAGTCTTGGAGAATATTTTGAGGTGTTCAAAAGTGAGTTTCTAGTCAGCCATTCTGTTTCATGGGGTAAAAAAGGGCGGGGAACCTAATGAAAGACGCAAACATTCTTGTGTGCTCCATTGCATCAAATTTCTAAGAACCTGTGCAACCTGATCGGGAAAAGTGGAGGACTACTTGTACGCTGGATTTTTAAAGGTAATAGCACGATTTCGAGTGTAATTTTGTGTTGATAAGCAATGGTAAATTTTTCAAAGACAACAAAACTGCACGAGTTCATAGGATGAGTGTAATTCGTATTCTTATAAAAGTGCCTATTTGCACCAAATTGCACGAGAAACCATGCTATTACTTTGTAATGATTTACTTGAAAAAAAAACACGGAAAGTCAAGACAGACGAAATTTTGACGGCGCGCGCCCACTATTTATAATTTGCACTCGTGTTACAACTTTACACTCGTGTTACAACTTTGTTCTAGTTTTCAGTCTATCAGAGCGTGAAATGTTTCCACTTATATTATAAGGCCGTAAATCCAAATCTCTTTTGAAATGTATTACAGATAGACGTACAATATATCTACAATAACTTTTTCTTTTTAATTTCAATTAATACGCGTTAATGTTTTTACTGATTTCCATCCTAGAACCTTACAATGATAGGAGAACTTGACTGGAGTGGGACAAGAAACAACTAAAGGCAAAATGACAGCACACAAAATTGTACATGGTGGAACACTCACAAAAGTCGCTGGTGCTTTCCGTTGGTATCGGTGACATTCCCTGTAGGTCAGAACTCCCCTGGAATTCCTCTTAGAAAACCCAAACTCTTGTACGCTTGTTTGTATTTTCTTCCCAGATTTGTCTTAGATCGCCCCCCAAATTATACCGCAGTCATTTGGAATCACCCACCCCTTCCCTACTCTTTCTTTCTTTTTCAAGACCAGGGTAGTAACTTTTTATGGGATGGAAAGGGTGAACTTCCCTGTAACCGTAATGGAAAACTTCCTCTCATGCAGTAGACGCTTTTTTCAGAGAAGTTGATTCAATTTTTTCCATTAAATAGAACAACATTTTTACATGCACTTGTACAGCTGTTTTTTTTTTTCTTTTTCGAGCCAACCTTATTTGTTGGCTATCTGAAGGTCATACTGCCCCATAACGTGTTGTCTCAAATTACGACTTCATCACTCCCTGGTCCGCTTTCGTTAGGTTTTTGTATCATAGTTTTTCTTGCGTTGTGGTTCGTGAGCCGTCGCTTCTCGTCGAGTCCAGATTTGTTTACCATAGTTTTCCTTAACGAGTTCAGTTTGTTTACCGCCATTGCACTTGCCTTAAACCAACATCTACCAGGATCCTTTGAATAGTTGATACTAGGATAGAAAGGGGCCTCGGTGGTCAGAATTGAGGTTGGTCTTTGCTCGCCACAAATTTTGTAAACAGACACAGGGTTTCTCTCATCTGGCCCGTCTTGAGTAGCGAAAGCTTTAGGCTTGACTGATCTGATATTTCGAATTTCCATTGCAGTTCGTTGTCGGTCTGTCGTTCAGAATATTCTAAATATTCTGTACCGTTCACATCTCTGATAAGTTGAACATCTTCCCAAGTCATTTTTCGGTGTTCGTCGCAGCCTCTCAACCCGAAATGAATGGAGTTCATAAACCACAACGTGTTCGGCAAAACCTGAGCAGTCGTGATTCCAAGCAGGTTTTTCTTGTATAGAATGTTGACCTCCTCGTCTGTTATAACCTCTGCTGCATTTGGCGTGTTGCCCTTCCCTTCCTTTTTTAATTGCCTTCTTCGAGCCTTCAGGGCTTTTAGAATTTATTCAAACTCAAGGTCCTCTATTAAGTTCTTTGGATATTTAAAAGCTTTCAAGTGACGGTCGAAGCTGCAAAGAAATCCTCTGAGGCTTGAAGGCTCGAATTCGTCTCCGCCTTTTCTTTTGACAGTTATTATAAATTCACTCAAGATATGATTTAGGTGTTCTGGCGGAATCTCTTCCAGTTTTCTCTTCTCATTCCTTTCTTTCAAAAACGCCATGAAAATGGCAATATCTCTCCGCGTTTTTGATAGCGTGTTCTTGTTTTCTTGCTCCTGAATAAACTCATTTACGGGCTTTTCTAACGCAGGAAATCTTAAACTTGAGGTTTCGGTCATCTCAAAAAGTTAATTTTAGGAAATAAATTTGATTACAGAACTCCAAACCCCCAAACCAACCTCCAAAGACAGAAAGAGGAGAGGGCGCAAAAATCCAGTACTTCTAGGTTCTTCGTGATTGGACGAAACGTGTTCTTCGCACGTGAAATTGTCGTTTCTCTTATGATTTGATTGGCTGTAAACTACTGTGAACTGAGTTTTGAGACAACAGATTTCGTAGTGAAAAACTCAGTATGTACAAAATACGTTCAAATTCTAAACTACCTTCTTTTACCGCAACGAATATCTCACGATCGTCTCCACATACAGCTTCGTGATTCATGTAAGTAAGACATCAACATCTTAAGACTAACCTTCAAGGTTTGTAGTCTGGTGCACATTTTGATCATCACTAAATCAAATCTTAAACTTCAAGTTTTCGGCCTTTTTTGAAAACCCGTGAAGGCGCGCTGAAAACATCAGCTGAATGGCGCCGAATGAGCACAATAGGATTCTTGCGCATGCCCAGACAAAATGCTATTCATTGGCACAGCGGCAAAATGAGCGCGCACGCTTGGCGGATTTGGCGCACTCAAGGAGCGATTAAAGAAGCATGATACGAATAAATTTAATATCGCCCAGTTTGAATGTAGAACCCAAAATCTAATTAACTTATTGCCAGTGAATAGGAAAAAGCTCAATACGTTTTTACTGCTTCTGTCATTCTAAATATTATAAATCAATCACCCCACCTGCCGCCAAATCGCCGCTTTAGTGTTACTATGGAAATATTGTCATTCCCATTCCTTTTCGCGCGCAAATTTTCGCGCGCGTTTCAAGCATGCGCACTCATTTTGCCGCTGTGTCCTACCATTAAATTTCATAGCGGATTGTAATGTAAACAAAGATGGCGGTAGTTTTATGACAACTTTTCGAAGACATTTCTACGAAGTTTAGTTCTGTAGAATCAGAAAATATTGCGAAAATTTTAAAAAACAATTACGGAGGGAAATTCGATTTGCTGGGTAATCGTGATCTGTTGGAAAGTTTACATCTTCTTATGAAGCATGGGTACGTTTCTGAGAACAACCTCAAACTAATCGAAGATGTTATTGCCCCGAAATCGAACAACGAGGAAATCATTAAGAAGTATATGGAACATTTCAAGGCCTCCCGTCCGGTAACAGCTGATCCAGAGAAGGAATTTCTCGGACGGAGTGAAGAAATCAAGAGAATTAACAAAAAATTGGAATCGAAAGATACCGGAGTACTGAACTTGTTTGGATCGTCTGGTGTAGGAAAGACAAAGCTTGCCAATGAGGTTTGCTTGTAGTGGCAAGGAACTTATCGTGTTTTTTTTTTAAGAGAAGCAAAGGATTTGAAAGCAATCTATTACAAAATGCTGCATTCTCTCGGACTAGTAGTTCCAGTTGGTAATGTTGATCAAAATTATGTTATCACCAAAATTCTAGAGAAGGTTGAAGAGTTGGAGAGAAAGAAACATGCTGTTCTATTTCTGCTGGACAATGTAGACCGCTTTATCGCAGGAAAAGGTAAAGAAGGGAAAAACTTGAAAACTGCTTTCATGGAATTTTTAGCCAAGCTCTCAGAAGGCAAAAGAAAACGATCTCCTTTTACTCACGTCACCTCCAGGACCGAGTTAAGAGGTCCCAAAACGATGGATGATTTTGAAGTGAGTACTCTGAAAGGGCTTTTTCAGAGAAACTTGTTATCCCAAAGGGAATGACTGATGTTAAACCCCAGCAGAAGAATGATTTAATCAGCATCGCAAAAGGATTTCCTCTTCTTCTAGGAGGACTGGCAGCTATTTTGCAACAGGAACGAAAATCTCCAGGAGAACTCATCGCAGAGGTTGCTCGTACTCTGAAAAAATCAAAAGTGAAGGAGGCCACTGGAAAAAAGCCTCTTAGTTTTGCAGAAGAAGGAGTGGATGTTAACCAGATGTCTGTAATCAGTTTAATGTTTTATACACTTTCCACAGAAATGTTAAAGTTATCTGCAGTAGTGATTTCCTTGTTTCATGGGCCTTTCTCTGCACCAACAGCTGCCAAAGTTCTTGGTATTGACCTGTCAGAGGCTATTGTTCAGTTAGAGGGTCTTGTAGCCAGCCAAATAATTTCTGCTGTTGATGAAGAAGCAAAAGAAAGGAAGTATGACATTCACCCTTTGTTACAGAAATATGCTGACAGTATCAAAGATCATGATAACTTTGGTGCTCCTTACCTGGAGGCAAAATGCCACTTCTATGAATTGTTCATGTCCAGAATGGAGAAAATTGCAAAATTCATGGAGCCAGATTATGTCAGGGCATTCCATTTGTTTGAGACAGACAGAGGGAATTATGAGCTCACCATTGAAATCTCATTACAACCAGATAATTTTAGTCTTCCAGGTGATTTTCATGAGAATGCTTTGATTAGTTCACTTCTCATTGCAATGCTGGATGATAAACAACTTATCAAGGTGTTTCATTGCTGGGCTAATATGTGTGAAGATGATGGAAGATCAAGTAAGCATTTCTTCTTAGTTTTTCATGATTCTCTTTGAGTTCCCCGAATTCTTGTATATGTTCAGTTCCAGTAATATCCTAGCAAGTTCTATGAGGGTCACATAAATTTCAAAAGGAGAAGAGACCGTGACTGGTAATAGGACCAAGTGGAGTCTGAGTGGAGTCCAATTTGGTCTGTAATCATATGAGTGATTAACAAAATCAGACAAGCACAAAGCAGGAGTCTGATTTGTCAATTGTGAGTATGATTACAGACAGAATTGGATAACACAAAGTCTTGTCACCAATTATTTGTAACCATTACAATTTCAAAAAAAATATATATTTAGGACAAATATCTCCAGTAGGGACAGTGTCTAAAGCAAATAATTTAGAAATTTCCCAGTTATTTCAGGGCAAGTGGTTGTTGCTATAGTTATTGTGATCAATTATGTGATTGGTGGATTTAGCTGAGTAGACTTAGTATGATTGGCTGCTTCAACAGTCTGATGACAGGTGTCCGATCACAGCCAACTGTCCAATTACACTGTCCTTTCTGATTACAACTGTGCAGAGTGATTAGTGGAATATAAAGCAGCTGATGCACCCATCACATTTGAGGAAATTGTAATGGCTATGATTAACACTTTAACTCCCACACTCTTATTGTTAATTCTCCCCTCTAGTTTCTACACATTTCTTTAATTTAATCTCGTCTTCTCGGATAGGACGTAAAACTGTAGGCCCCGTCTCCTGCAGGGTTGGTGTAGGAGACATTAATTTCCCACACACAAGATTACTGTGTGGTGGATGTCCTCCCCTGGGGTGGGATGGTTGGTTAATATTTATTGGGGTTGAATATCAATTGGGACATTGTCCTGTTTTCTTCTCCAGTTGCCGATACTATTCTGTACGTGTAACAAATTTCAATAAAGGAATTTGTAAATTAGTTACAAGAATTTAATATTAGATCAAGATAACAACTTCTACCTGATAAGTTTTATTATTCTCGTTGCCTGATTGCTGGATAATTTAGGGACAAGACACATGTTAATCACTTTTGGGAAGTAATTTGGGTTAATGGTTTTAAAATAATGTATGCTTTAAAACATATGTTTAAAACATATTATTATGTGGCAAAATAAATGGAAAAATACATTAATCATTTAACTCTCAAGATCTAATTGTTAATTCTCCCCTCTAGCTGCTACACATTTCCTTGTAAATCAGTTATGAGAATGTGGTGTTAAATCAAGTTAACAACTTCTACCTGATAAGTTTAAATATTTTAATAATAGCTGTTTGCTGGATAATGTAAGGATGTTATAGGGTGAAGTTTCAATTCTGGGAGTTAAAGGGTTAAGT